GGATATCACTTAGCCAACTTGGTTGGAATGAGGAAACCTTTGGTAGTTTGGTTTGAGAAGTCAAATCCAAAACCTGCCCCCCCGTTCCCCAGCAGCTTTGCTTTAACTTCTTAATTCAGGTGAGAGACTCCTGTATTTGGCAGAGAAGTGGACCCTTCTTTATGATCCTTGTTTAGCTGGAGCCTTAGTCCAAAGGTGCACCATCCTAGTTGGTGGGGTTTTCCAAGAGAGATGCCAAGTCTCATGGAAGAGGTCAACGCAGATGATTCTGGATTAGCAGTAAGACCACCCCACCACACCCTGAGAACCCATCAAACCTCTCCCTATGGTATCATTTAACCTCACCTCCACATTCATAACTTACTGGATGTTTCAACTCCTCATACAGGAAGGCATTTTTAATGTGATTGGTGGCTAACCACAATTGGATACACACATAAAAAGAAGCACACTTTGTAAACTGAATTGCAACTAGGGCAGCTGGGAGTGAATCTAGAACCCAATATGTGACAGGAGAACAGAGAGCTTCACTCGCCACATGCTTCTCTACCGGTCCCAGTTCCTCCTGAGCCCACACAGAGCGCTGCTCTGAACACTGCTGTCTGCTAGAGGGGTTGGAGGGCAGTCCTGGGCCTCAGGACCCTCTGTCCTCATAAGGTATAGATGGGTCAAAACTAGCAACTTCAGCGTTCCTCAGAGCTCTATGGTCCCTGGTGCTGACAGGGAAAGGGAATGGGTAAAGACTATATTGAGGTTTGGGTTCTTGTCATCTTATCCTAGCTGGAAATTCTTCTCTTGTTTGTTAATTAATACTTCTGTCCTTTCTGTAATATTCTGATCTAAAGCCATCTCCTCTTCAAGCACCCTTCTTGCTTAAGCCATCTTTCAGATTCTACCACATGGTGTTCCAAGCACACCGAAGCTTAGGTGCCCTGGGGATTTTCTTGCAAGTGTTTGTTTCATCCTGGGGAACCTAGAGGCTCACCTGAAAATGAAGGTATTGCCTTGCTCAAGAAGTAAGTTTCCATTTCTTGGGTTAGGTCTCCCTCAAGCCTACCTTCCCTGATGAAATCTACCTCAGGGGTCCATGTCCCACAGAGTGCAGGGATCTTCAAGCCTGAGAACATCATTTCTAAAGGACAGTAGGACTCCAGGATGCAACGGGATCCCAGATAGCCACACTCCACAGTCCCCAAATTATCCAAGGTCTCAGGATACACACATGCCTTCATACCACACCCCCCAAAATAGCTAGTCTTCTCCTTCATTTAAAGACTGATTGCACAAATTTAACCAGCACCTGGCTCTTGAAAAAGTAAAATAAAACAAAAGAACAGGGACACAGACGCTTGGGAATTCTAATACTGTTTTTTGACTCGGGTATCGAATAGATGAGCTGTCAATTTTTGCTTTTGTTAAACTTTACACATATCTCTCTGGGGATAGTTTTATATGCATGTCCTATTTCACTGTTTATAAAAACATCTTCCCTCTGAAAGTGCCCAATATCTGTTGACTGCACAAACATACCCTCTTGCCAGTGCACTGATGAACACGGAAGGATCATGAGCCATTCATGGGGCACTGAAGCCCCTTCAAGCTCCCATACAGGATACCCACCTAGGATTCAGCTGTGAATTTCCCTTGGCAGCCTGTGGTCTTCTCTTCTCCCTCACTCAGTAGGAACGGAGAACAGAAGAACATGACCTGAACCATCCCAGAGGACTCTTGAGTCAAGAGCGCTTCCAACCAGGTGTGAACAATGGATGGTGGAACTCCCCACTTTTCTGCAGGGAATGACCATGATACTGCTCAGAAATCCCAGGGGAAATCCGGCTTGGATAAGGAGACAGAGCAGCTCTGGGAACTTTCCTGGCCAGTGTCCCCAGGCTTTTCCTCCCAGGAAAGGCTGTGTCCCTGAACCAAACAGTGGGGTTGGAATGGCGGTAGGTGGGCAACGCTTCCCCCAACCTCAGGCTTCTCCAGTGCTCAGGACAGATGCACACACTGAGCACAGCTGTTCACCCAGGCCTCAACTACATGCTGTATTCTGAACAGGGTCTCTGTCTGAAGACTTCTCCTAAGTTCCTCCCCCCACACCCCTTCTCACTGCAGGCAGCCTCCTTGCTGGAGAATTCTGTTACACTTTTGGTCAGCCAGCAGATTCTATGGCAAGCCACCCCAGCATCTCTCCTCAACAAGCAGGTACTTGGATCACAGCAAAGGATGGAATCATGAGAACAAACAAATAAAGACATACTCTTGGGTGGTTAGACAGGAATCCATGCTGAACTGTCCTGCTCCCCTTACATACTGTCTGCTGAGATCTTCCCTGGAGGATGCATGCTTATGTGAAGTTGTGGCAAGCCTCTCAAGTGTTTACACAAGCCTCCTGTGGGGCCAGGACCATTTGCAGATTGCTTTTCTGTTATAGTTACCATTTTAAAATTACTACTATGTAGCTATTCCCCCACCCCCACCCCCCACCCCACTGGCCCTACCCACTCCATAATCACAGATCCCAGGCTAGCATGCTGAAGACTCTAGTTATGATCTCAGGATGTCCTCCCCCACACCCATACAAAATAAACTGAGAGAAGTACAACACACAATACAATGCTCCTTAAAGGACCAGGGACAGTAAAAGCCTCTGACATTTCTGGCCATCACCAGTGAATCAGATGTTTCTAGCAAACACTGAATTTTCTTCTTCCTCTCCTACCACGGAGGTTCTTTAGGCAGAGCCTGACATGCTTCTGCTCCTTGCTTGCTCGAGATTATTTCCTCCATGGCACTCTATCAGTGATAATGCCTAGAGCTGTCACAAAAAAAACAAAAACAAAAACAAAAACACAGAAGTGGGACTAAGGAACTGAAAGTTCCCATCTCCAGGTTGAAAATGAAAGCAAAAGCAAGCCTGAACTGCTGAGCAGTATCAACTAAACACAGGTATGGGACAAACAAACGGTATTACAAATTAAAAAGTAAACATGTCCCTTTAGGTACCACCATTAATTTAGAACACATCAACTTCTATCCACTTCTAGAGACAATGATGACATTTTTCCACTAAGCTATCAGCCATGGAAAACTTGTCCGGCAATGGGAAACAACTTTGGCCATACTCCAATATCCCTTGTCCCTTTCCTCAGAAAAGTTAAGTGACCTGCCAAACTGTGGTGGCCCCCAAGTGACATGTGAGAGAGAAGTCTCTGCTCTGTGGTGGTAAACATGTTATGATGAAGCACACAGAGATAAACAGGCAGGAGCTCTGTGTGCCTCCCTGTGCTAGCATGAGCTGTGGTCACTGTGTTCTCCTCGGTTGGGTCCTCACTGCTAGACTGTGTGAAGGTAGGGTGCGTGTGGAGGTGAGCGTCCTCCATGCTCAATGTTGCAGTCAAGTTGCTCTATCTGCTCCTGACCAAAATGAGTGTCAGAAAAGAAAGGTTCAAACAACAACATTCAGGCTTTGTATGCACAAAGATACTGTAGCTCTCACACCACAGAGTGAGGCCAGAGGATCCCCTCCCCACTCCTCTCTGCAGCATTTAAGGGACTTCTTTGTGCTTGTCATCTCACTTAAAACAGAAAACTCACTTAGGGGAGGGAGTGACTCTTCTTGGGGTCTGATGAAATCACAAGCTTTTGGAAAAGAGCCTAGGTGTCCAACAGAGCCCATTGTTAGACATAAGGTTGGTGAACAAGAGGCCAGATTTGCAAAACTTCCACAAAATTTTAAAAATCCGCATAAGGAGTGAGGGGGCTCTCTTCCCCCAAGGAACACAAGTGAACACACACACACACACACACACACACACACACACACACACACACACACACACCACAAAAGAGCACAGGCACTCACCTGGCTTCCTGACTCTGAGCTGTTCAGGCCAAAGAAGGAATGTCATTGGCTTACTGTGATGAGTTCCTCAGTGCCCACAGCCATAGGGACACGGGCTTTAACCTAACGGGAGTCCTTTCTGCTCCCCTATCCCAGACCCTGCACCCTCTCCGGAGAAAATTCCCAAGGCATCAATTCCCAAGGCACCTAAGTTCCTTCCTGAGGCTGACATCTCTCTCAGCCCACTTGTGAACTGGCCTGAGGAGCCTGAGCTGGCAGTCCTGGTGGTAACTCCAGCAAAGGCGCATTTTTTTTTTTATCCCGGCTGCTGCTGTAATTGACTCAGAGATATATTCAATGCAGATCGCCAATTGTCTAGAAGACCTCGGGCTGGAAACTAAACAGCTCCATGTGAACGGTCCTTTCCAATTCTGGGTCTAGCTGCCGGCTCAGCATGTGTGCAACTTGAACCGAGGCTGTAACCAGCTCAGGCTCTGCCCTGCCACCTGTCAGTTCTCCACCCTGGGGGTTGGTTCAGCAGGCAGACAGGGATCTCCAAGCACTAGCTTAACCTCTGGCTCCACCTAACGGCAAGACATCTACACCCCCCTTTCATAGATGGACAAACTGAGCTTCCTTCAGGAAGGTGCTCAAAAACCCCACCAGGAGGGGGCTAATTGGCATAAGAAGGTGGCGGTAACCTATTTAGCATCCCATGCTGTAACCTTCCTCCCAAGCCTTCCTACAGAAGGAAGCGTACTGTGAACTTTTTAAGTTAGCATCTTAGATCTCGCCAGCCCTTTGTCTGCAAATAGCATTTCACACACGTTCCTCAAACAATCTCGGATGAGTGAGTCATTAAACCGTTTGCTGAATAATGAAGAACACAGAGGCCTGAAATGGAACTGATAGACAGGCACAAATGGTACCTAACTTCCCCCTCCGGTCCTAGCGGAACATCGTGCATCCTTTCTGACCTCTGCGAGCGTCCCCATCACTTTTATTCGGTAAAGACACTTCTGCGTGGGGTGGGGAAAGCTACGTGGCGGGTTGGGCTTGCCTGGGGACGGTCTGCGCTCACCTTTAAATCAGGAGGCTTGCTTCGGGGACCCGGGTTGGGTGCCACCGCAGCGCCAGCATCTGAAGTTGGCCCGCCAGCAGAGTTGGAACCTGAGGCCTCCCCAGGCCGGAGGTCCGCGCCCGGCAAAAGGCAAGCTGCATCTTCCATCCCAGCCCCATCCTCCTCGCCCTGCTGTTGCTGCAGCTCGTCCGATTTGCACCTCTTCATGGTGTAAGTGGGTCGGCAAGGGGAATCTGTCCTTCTAGCGTGCTGTCTTGGGGGAGACCGCACCCCCTCTTGCACTCAAAAGACCTGGGGTTTAAATTATGGACGAGAGGAGTAGGCAGATCACGAGTTCTTGAATTTAAGAAAATATCTTTCTAAAGGAGGATGAGGGAGGGGCGAAGAGGGGGAGCCTTGGGATAGTTCATTCCGACCTGGGGAGCGGAGGCAGGTGGCGGGCGAAGCCGGGCTGCAGGAGTCCTTGGGCAGTCACTGGCGGGGAGGAGGGCCGCTCCCGACCCCCAAACTTTCTGCCTCAGGGCCCCGCAGGGCGGCGGGAAGCTGGACCACTTGGCGCATCTCTGCCCTCAGGCCAAGCTGCTGGGCCAGGCAGGGCGCGCGGGAGCCGGCCGGGCGGGTCCCGTGGGGCCGCCCTGGGCACCCGGCCCCGCCGCCCGCCGCCGCCCTGCATGGACCTGCCTCCTCCCGCCGCGCGCCCCGCTCCTCGCCAGCAGCAGCGCAAGGCTGCGGCCACAGCCCGCCGCGAGCGCGGCCTACCCCGCCCGGGCCTCCGCCCGCCAGCGCCAGGGCGAGGCGAGCGCAGATGGCGCCGCCCGCCAATGGGAAGGCCGGAGGGCTGCGCGGCGGCGCGCGGCCACCGCTATAGGCTTGGTTGCACCGCGCGTCCCCCAGGAGGGTCTGGAGGGCGACAAGAGGCTGCATTGGAGCTCTGTGGAGGGCCGGCTCTGGAGCAGCCTCTCTCAGTCTAGGCCTTTGCAATTACCCCGCCTACACGCTATGTTGGGGCATAGTAGGTGTTTATCATTACTCCCCTAACTTTTCACCTTATGTTATATCCGTCCCTTCAGTTAGGGACAGGCTGGTACCTTCTGGGATATGGGGTCTGAGTTACAAACCTATGCCAACATTCATAGCTACAAATGCAAAGGAGAGGGCCCCTTTCTCTGTTTAAAATACACATCTCATAGGAACTTAGGCTTTACATTCAGAAACTAGGTGCACAATAACCTGTGAGAGGCCCCTGCTCCCTTGAAAGCAGCTTTTAAACAAGAATGGGCATTGCTGGTAGGTATTGATGATACATACTGCAGATTAGAAGAGGAATGCTATTTTTTGCCCTTTACTGATGGAAGATGAGAGCAGTAGATGTTGGGGAGACCAAGAAATGGAGAGTAACAGTAGTCTACTAGTATTAATAATTACTATTTCTTTCTGCAAACTTCCTGCTTACTTGGCAGTGATGGACTGCCCTTATTCAGTAGGCAGAAATTCTCAAGGCCTAAACAGGGACCTGCAGCATCAGCATTTCTTGGGACCAGACAGAAATACAAATTCCTGGGCATTATTAAACCTAAAGTTACGAGCCCTCTGGGTGATTCTGATGCATGCTAACAGCTGAGACCCACTGGCCTGGGCTGCTGTGTGAGTCACAGAGCTTTCCCTGAAGGATTTTACAGTTTACCAATCTCTTTCACACTCACTAGGCCATTTTAGCCTCACTTCAGTCCCACTAGTCTGTGAGTTTCCTGACTCTGTTAAGTCTTTTTTTCCCCCATTGCAATCCCGTATTTTGATGTGTATCCTAAAAGAGATCGAGTTGTTAAGAATTTACTACAGTCAGGGAGTCACTTTCTAAACTAAGCTGCTCCATTTTTAGAAAATTGGAATTTAGAATGGGCTGGGAATGCAAAAACACCCCCCATATCCACTACACAGTATCAGGCACAATTTGGGAATGCAAAGCTATAAGCCTTTCGAATTTTCAATGGTGAGGAATGGCAGTGTGCCAGAGCAGATCGTGGGTAGGACTAGGCAGCGGGTGGGGGCAGGTTCCCTTGGTACAAAGGAGAGGAACATACTGCTCTCTGCCTGAGCTGGGAGAACTGCAGAAGCCCCATAAACCCTTTCTCTGTTTTAAATACACATCTCATAGCAGAGAAAGGGGTGGCATCGAGTGTGGGCCGCACAGTGCCCCCCTCACACCCATGTTCATGAACTGACTCCAAGTCGAAGAAAAGCAGAAGGGGTTCTTCAGGTCTGAGAGACAGATCAGCAGTTAAGAGCGCTGGATGTTCCCCCAGAGAACCTGGGTTTGGTTCCCCGCACCCAAATAGCAGCTAACAATGGTCTGTACTTCCAGTCCCAGGGGATCTAACACTTTCTCTGGCCACCCTCTTCTAACCTACCTGACACCAGGTACACACATGGTACACAGCCATACATGCAAGCAAAACACTCATACATATAAAAATAAAGTAAATAAATATATAAAAAACTTAAAAGACCTTTAAGGAAACAGAAAACATCACTTATATCTCATTTCACTACCAACTAGATGTTCACCTTAAGTTTGATTTTGTGTGTTTGAGGAAGCTCAGTCTAGTCTCTAACTTGTGATCCTCCTGGCTCAGCTTCCCAACGGTTGAGACTACAAGCATCTGGTTTGTTTCATTATTATGTTATCGTATACTTAACACATGATGTCCAAGGTATGAAATTCATCAATGGGAAGTCTTTGGTGTTTTTCACAAAATCTACTTTGTTTTCCTTCTTTTGGGAGTGTGCTATTGGGAATTAAACCCAGAGACTCACACCTACCAAGCTTATACTCTGCCCTAAACAACACCTCCGTCCCTAAACCATGTCCAAATTTCCTAGCTATTTGGAAACTGGGGTAATGGGGGCTACTATCTTTTAGAGTGTTGGGATATATATATATATATATATTCTTATATATATCATCTAGATACCACCTGGCACAGGGTTAAAGGTCATGATGTCACAGATGTCATCCAGCTTCCAGATGGTTCCATAAAATTCAAATCTGTCCAAGCCATTTCTGAATTTCACAAAGGGATATACTACATAATAATTATGCTACTTCGAAGGACGTTTGGAAGTGACATCGTTAGAAAGACCTGGATTCCCCGGCAAATGCTGTCTTGAAGTCAGTGGCAGATTTTCATTGGCCAGAGTAAACAAATAAGTACTTGAGATGTATACAACTCAGAAGTGCTTTGGCTGATTGAAATTCTGCTTAAAGTATTAAATGGATCATCCTATTGTTCTCGGCCGCTTTGAGAAAAATACAAGCACAAACTATATGTTTATATTTACGATATGGCAAGCATTTGCAGACTCACAAAGCAAGAATCTCTGTTTGGCATATAGGAGTAGAATTTTCCATTCTGTTTTGACACAACTAGTTATTATAAGTAAATATGATGTAGTGGGAAGAATGCTATTCCTATGCCAAAAATTTTATGTGAGAATTCTGGTTCTGTTTTGGACAACCGAATCAATGAACCTCTTTAACCCACATTCTTCTCAACTGTGAATCAAGGGGTTGTGACATGTCTGCCCACATTGCTTTTGTGATCAGCCAAAGGGATAGGGCCTGTGAACTGCCTGCACGGAACACATGGTTGATGTCAGTAAATCCCAATGAAGCAAGCAATGGACCCATGCCCCTGGGTTGTAGGAGAACAGCAGGATTGACTTACTAAGTATGCTCTTTGAATAGAAATCTCAATTAGAATAGTAAACAAAGTCATCCTGCACTAGCATTACATCTGCTAACCTGGTGAATATATATATATATAATATATATATATAGAACATATATATATATTAGAAGAGTGTTCCAGAATCCTGTGTCCTTGTCAACACTTGACAAGGGTGAGCTGATGCCTACGGAGGGTAAAGTGGGAAGATGGGCAGGTAAGTCTAGAGTGGGTGAATTTTTCTTCTTTCTATAAGAACAGGTCTAAGAAATAAGAGGTTTCTCTTTTTCTTAGCAGTGAGAGATTTGTAGAGTGTCCCAGAAAATTGTTAAGTATTATTTTTTTACTCTGTTGGGAGTTAGGAATCTGCTTTAAACCTTCAGTTCTCCCCCCCCCCCCTTTGGTGGAGTCCCATGTGGTTGAGGCTGGCCTCTAACTCACTATTGTAGCCAAGGATACGTTGAACTTCTGATTCTCTTGTCTCTGCCTCCTTAGAAATCCCTTTTAAAACATCTAAGCATCAAGTGGATGAGGAACTGTCAAGTTGTTGGAGAGCTATTTTAAGGTTCCGCATACTGAGTAGAGTAGAGCACTTAGAAGGGAAGCACCTCAGGACTAGTTATAACTTTCACCACTGTATTTTGATACTAATGTCATTACATATATTCCTTTGTTAATGCAGTCTTCTTCTTCCTTTTCTGTTGTAGATTAACGCTTTCATTCAGTGCTGTCATGAAAAGAAATCAACTTCTTTTGGAGTAGGAGGAGTAAACTATGCAAATAACCATCGGAAACCATCGAAGAGATTGGCTGGAGTGTTGGTGATGTCACAATCCCACCACCTAAGCATACAGTGCTTATTGGCTTTTTAAAGAGGAAGGGAGCACTGGGAAGGTTCTACATCACTCCACAATTGCTGAAAGCTCCGAGCTTAAACTAAATTTCACCTTTTTTCCCCCTGGCTTTCTTAAAATGTGCCCAGAGCCTTTTTTACATGTTATTGCATTTCTCACATTATTTAGTTATTATTTAGTCGTATTCTCCAGGTCACTGTAACCATTTAGAACAATTCCTTTACAACCTATCAAATAAATCTCTCATGGTTTAATCACTAGCCAGTTTATTTTTAGACACTGAGAATTGTTTCAGTTTCTTGCTTTTAGCTGAAATTCCTGTAAGTATACATAAACTCTATATATATGTATGTATGCAATATATAATTTTCTCCATGGCACAGACCCTCTTATAGTTAACTATATTACAAAGAAGACAAGCCCACTTCTCTCACAATAGCCTGGAGACCCCTTTGTCTGCCTCACTCCTAAGGCTGGAGTGCTCCCTATCCACAGCACAAGGCTGAAAGTCTGTGTCTTGCTTCAGGTGGGCTCCACAGTCTTTATTTTGAAAGCTGGATGTTCCTCAGTAATGGAAAAAAGTCATGATAATCACATGACCAGAGAGGGTCTGTGAAGCATAAACTTTGACTGAACAGCTCTGGGAAAGCCGGAATGTTAAAATGGCTCACTCATCTCTATAGGGAATCCACACACATTTCCGGACAACCAGTCTCCTAAAGCTTAAGATTCTAGACCTCAAAACAAAAGAAAAAGGGGCTAAGGAGACAGTTCATGTGCTTGTCACACAAGCATGAGGGCAGTCACGTTAACAGCCAGATCTGATAGCGCATGCTGAGGAGGCAGAGACAGGAGGATCCCTGCAGCTTGCTTGCCAGGCAACCTTGACAGATCAGTGATCTCCAGGTTCAGTGAGAGACCCTGTTTCAAAAAGCAAGGTGAAGAGCCCAATGAACAGAGCCTGTGCAATGCCTGGACCGGTCTCATGGCTTATGCCAGGAACCTGAATGAAGCAAGCTGAATGAGCAAGATGGCTCAGTGGGTAAGGACACTTGGTGCCAAGCCTAATGACCAGAGTTCAATTCCCGGAACTCACATGGTGGAAGGAGAGAACCCACACACACACACACACACACACACACACACACACACACACACAGATCAAATACTGTTTTGCTCAGAAATAACCAGTTAGTAACTTTGCATCAGAAAGTGGATGTTGAAAACAGCTCTGCACACTGTGTGGTCCTTTCAGGTGTATTAACCAGAGCCAGCAACTGTCACTTAAATGTAACCACAGTATTAGGCATTTTGCTATAAATGCTGTGAATTCTTTCTTATTTAATCCCCCAAACAGCCCTGGGATGTAAGAATTCTCCCTACTCTACAGGAGGAAGCAGCTAGTGGGGCTACAGCACTTACCTTTTCCAAAGCCCAGGCCTCAACCAGTCATGACTGTGTCTGAGCCACTTTTGTGGCAAGGGATTTGCCAATGACTATTGGTCAACAGTTCAATACGTACATCTATATTTATTCTGATTTTTGTATTTAATTTTATTTTATGTGCATTTATGTGAGGGTGTCAGGTGCCCTGGAACTGGAGTTAGAGACAGTTGTGAGCTGCCTGACATGGGTGCTGGGAACCAGACTTGGGTCCCCTGCTGGAACAGTGTGCACTCTTTTTTTTCTTTTGGTTTTTCGAGACAGGGTTTCTCTGTATTGTTTTGGAGGCTGTCCTGGAACTTGCTTTGTAAACCAGGCTGGCCTCGAACGCACAGAGATCCGCCTGCCTCTGCCTCCCGAGTGCTGGGATTAAAGGCGTGCGCCACCAACACCCGGCGCAGTATGCACTTTTAATGGCTGACTCATCTCCACTGGCCCTATATGTCTGCGTATTAAAGTATGTACTTGAAATGCTTATCGCTGCAAAGGGCTTCCATGCTGCTTGTGGAGGGTAAAACAATGACAGATACCTAAAGTCCAGTTGTGGGAAATGAGGCACAAATCAAATGTGCAGTAACACAAGATTAAAGATGTAATGTCAGTCAGCTTGCTGAATGGGAGAGGTGCACTGCAGTCTAGAAAAGGCACAGATTGCAATGACAGATCAAGGACGCAGTCATCCATCACAAGGGCTAAAGGATAAAGACGTTACACGGGACAATCCTAATTTTGTTAGGTAAGAACTACCAGCAGTGTCTTGAAAATAAAATCATTCACCATTTGGGCCTCTGGCATACTATCAAGTTTTTGTAGCCTTTTGGTGACAAAAATCTCTTTTCTTTGCTTTAATTCTCTGAGATTACAATACAGTGGTTCTCAAAGTATGGTCTATGAACTAGTAGCATAAACACTTTGGAGTTTAGTTACACATGTAGAGTCCCAGGCGTCATCCTTTTATTCTACAGAATTGGAATTTCTGGAGCTGGAATCTGAAAATCTGCTTTAGTCATATTGAAGTCTGAGAAGTTCTGGGGTAGGGGGAAACTTGGTTGGTCACTCATTTGTGAATTAAATGACCACTTACTGGATGCCTGGCACACACTGTCATTTCATATGTAAAGCAAACTTTGTTGAGCAGTGGTGTAACTTTCATTTCATAGAAGCTGAGGCAGGATCAAACCTGTTCATCTGGGGAGATGTCCAAATCAGTTCTGCTTACTTTCAGTGTCCAGGCTTTCCCACAATGCTTCCTGTACTGTCATTAGACTATATGATAAACATGGCTGCCATTGTGGCAGTAATAATGTCTGTCATATGAGTCCTACTGTGTGCTGTATGATTCGGATCCAAACCTTTCCATAACTATAAATGGAACTTTTGTCATGTATGATATTAGTATGCAATTTCCAAATCACTTTCAACACATTTGAAAAGAGCTTTCCCTCATTTTAAATTTATTTTAAAAATTTTTATTCATTTTACATAACAACCACAGTTCCCTCTCCCTCCCTGCCTCCTGCTCCCCTCACGTCTCTCCCAATCCACCCACCCTCCACTCCTCAGAAAGGGTAGGGCCTCTCATGGGGAGTCAACAAAGTTGAGATAGGACCAAGTCTCACCCCACTGTATCAATGCTGAGCAAGGCATCCCACCATAGGGACTGGGTTCCAAAAAGTCAGCTCATGCACCAGGGATAGATCCTGAACCCATGGCCAGGAGCCCCTCAAACAGACCAAGCTACACAACTGTCACCCACATGCAGAGGGCCTGGTTAGGTCCCATGCAGGTTCCCCAGCTGTGGGTCTAGAGACTGTGAGGTCCCACGACCTCGACCTGGGGACAACTATTCCTGTGGGTTTCCCCACCATGACCTTGACCCCACTTGCTTATATAATCCCTCCTCCCTCTCTTTGACTGGACTCCTGGAGCTCTGCCTGGTACTTGGCTGTGGATCTGCTTTCCTCCATTTTTATATTTTCCTAACAGAACCTGAAAATCTAGCTCTGCCAGGACTTCCTTTACTTGATATAGTTTATCTCAACCACTCCAGTTTGGAAAGGCCAACCATGCATTAAAGTCTAGCCTTTATTTCTAACAAATGCCACACATCTGGAGAGATGATATCTGGTTCAAGAAGAAAATGTCAGTTTCTTGAAAAAAAAAACAACAAAAGAATAACTTCTGTTGACCTTATGACTTCCAAAAGACAAGCTTAATCCAGGAATCCTCTCGTGGGAGTTGGGATCACACCATCCCATGTGCGATCTTGTTCTGGAGTAAACACCCTTGTGTCATACATCAACACTATAAAGCCCCAGGGCACACCTATGCAGTAGAGGGACTCCACCCTGGCTTGCCTTACAGCTCTCAGGAGGAGCTGGTAAGAGAAGATAGTACCCTCTTTCAAGATGGGCTGACACAGTACGGTCTGCTCAGAGGATAGTTGATAATGCATAGTTAGAGCCACATTGATCCTGCAACCTTTCACCTAGTGATACGTCAGTGAATTTATCTTCAGGAAATAATGCAAAAGAAGAAAATAAGATACAGGAGCAACAACAAAACTATTTATAGTGGCGTTATTTATTGTAATAAAAAACACCAAACCTGAAACAACGTACCAGTCCAAGAACAGAGATGAGTAGCAATGGCAATGGTATGACAGCATGGTTTGCTGCTGTTAAGGAGAAAATATTGAATGCATGGTGGTGTGGGGCAGGGTCTACTTTTAGGGACTGGTAAAATGGTTCAGTGGTTAAGAGTTCTTGCTCCTCTTGCAGAAGATCCAAGTTCAGTTTTCAGCACCCACATGGTGCTCAGTCACCTGTAACCTCAGTCCCAGGAGATTGACATATGGTGCATATACAAACAGGCAGGCATACGACAGATGTGGTGGCACACTCCTTTAATCCCAGCACTCAGGAGGTAGAGGCAGGCACATCTCTGTGAGTTCAAGACTAGCCTGGGTCTACAAGAGCTAGTTCCAGGACAGCCTCCTTAGTCACAGAGAAACCCTGTCTCAAAAAGCAAAACAAAAACAAAAAACAAAAACAAAATGATAATTTTAAAAAGAAGGAAGGGAGAAAAGAGAAGGGGTATTGCTAGGTTTTTTTTTTCATTTACCTATCTTTATACAGGAGTGACTCAGAGAGTCTATGACCTATTGTAAGGTGGTTCTATGTAGCAAAGAAATAAGATAAAGACAGTATATTAGTTACTTTTCTGTTGCTGTGATCAAATATCACAACCAAAAGCAACTAAGTACTAGCTAAGTCTGTCTGTACAGACCTCCAGACCTCTATGGTTAGCGAGTGGCAAGCTCCATTCTCCGACCTTCAGACAGGCTTTATTTGTACAAGCAAATGATCACCACAACTTCCCTCAAATAGCACCAACAGTGAACCAAGTGTTCAAATATGTGAGCCTACAGAGACACTTCTTACTCTAACTAACACAGATAAATTATATGGAACTGTCAGGTAACATAGTAAAGAAAGGATATAACCATTCATATTTATTATGTTTTAAATTTATGTGACTGTGCCTGTGTGAGTTTATATATACCAGTCACACGCAGATGTCCTCAGAGGCCAAAGGGCAACAGACACCCTGGAGCTGGAGTTACAGGCAGTTGTGAGTCACCTAATGTGGATGCTGGGGACCGCCTGAGGTCCTCTGAAAGGGAAGTACACATTCCTACCCACCAAGCCATCTTTCCAGCACTAGTCTATAACCATTTCTACTTGGAAAAACAGTGCTAGTCCACTGATACTGCTGATGGCCCAAGCTATGTCCAGGGCTGAATTTTTTT